TCCCGATCACTTCATTCAAAATTAACCTGCAACACTTCACCTTCGAGTACTTGATTTACGTGTTCGCATATTTTTATCCATTTTTACATCATTTAAGAATGTGCCTCATTTTCTTTTGCTAGATCGCACATGTCCAAAGGAAGAACCTACGCATGACTTCATAAGTCGTGCGTATTGCACCTCATTTGCATCACATTCCCCGCTTAATCCTTGAGTTTTCAAGTTGATCAACTTAGGCTTAGATCCTACCCCTTAAGTAGGACCTTTTTCTCTTTTATTTTCTTTCGACTTAGATAAACCCATACAATACAATTCAATCACCTATTCTCCACACAAGCGAATTAGACGTGAGTCATCTTGACAGTTGAGATATAATTCTCCTGCCCCATAATACAATCGAGAGATGTAGAATCTTTTCCGCTTGAGAGAGATATTGGCATACTAGTCAATGAAATCCAAGTTTTTGAGCCCTTCTCTCAAGACGATGCAAAGACGATCTTCTACAAGTTGTGGTGGTTAAGTCGAGTGTTCTCCCTTAAGATGACGACTCGTATTTTCTCCTATAATCAATAAAAAAAAATCTTATCCCCCTGGAACCTTGGCCATAGTCAAGAAATTCTTCAATCCCTTTAGGGGAACTACAAATACTCTGATTCTATTCCCGTCAGGATATGTAGGCACAAGATGCGATTTCTTGGCGAGTATACTTAGAAATAAATCACTAGGTCTTTTACCCTTAGCAAACAACCATAACAATAAAATAAGAGGTTCCTGTAGAGTACTATAGATGCTTAGGACGCTAGCACCTTCCTTAAGTTTAACCAACCCCGAACCTTTGATTCTCTAGCTTTGCATTTGCATTGCATCTTGTAGGTAATTGGATCTTTTTCCCTCCCTTTGGACAAATTAAAGACCGGTGGTGAACCATGAATTAAGATTCAAGTTAATCCAATAGCTTAATATCCAATTCTCACCATGATAGTAGCTCAAGGTTTTCTTCAGAGAGCAGGAGTCGACTACTCTGAAGTATATTCACATGTAGCAAGATTAAAGACTATTCAAATAGTAGTCACCTTGGCATGTAAGCAAGGCTGGTCGACATTCCACTTAGATATGAAATCAACATTTTTGAATGGTTCCTTAGACGAAGAAGTCTATGTCACACAACTTCCTGGGTTTGTGACAGAGGAGAAAGCAAGGAAAGTGTATAAGCTGCACATCACGCTCCATGGCCTTAAGCAGGCACCTAGGGCATGGAACAAGAAGATCGAATCATACTTAGTCGAATTGGGATTCGTCAAATGCAAATCTAAGTATGGGTTTTATATTGAAATATTATGGCACAAGATATAACAATAACTTGCTTATATGGCAATGATTTTCTAGTAACTAGAAATAGCTTGGAAAACTTGCCGAAGTTCAAAGAGCTGATGATGAGGGAATTTGAAATGTCGGATCTGTGAAACTTGTCTTATTTCCTAGGCATGGAATTTCAAATGTCGAAGCAAGGTATGGTGCTACATCAAAGAAAGTATGTCAAAGAGATGCTTAAGAGATTTCAGATGGATGATTTGACTCTTGCATCTTCGCATGTCGAACCAAATTCGAAGTTGGAGAAGCATGGGGAGGAAGACAAAGTCGATGCAACTTTGTTCAATTAAATTATCGGATCTCTAAGATATGTGTGCAACAGTCGACCTAATATAAGTTTCTTAGTCAGATTAGTGACTAGATACATGAGTGAATCAAGGGTGTCACACATGAAGGCTGCAAGAAGAATCTTGAGATACTTAAAAGGATCGATAAACTATAAATTCTATTTCGACGAGACTCTGAAATTAAAGAAGTTACGGTTACTTTCTATTTAGATGTTGATTGGTGTGGAGATAAGAAAGATCGAAGAAGAAAAAATGGTTATTTGTTTCAAGTATTGGTGCCCCAGTCTCACGGTGCTTGAGAAAGCAACATGTGGTGGCATTGTCATCATGTGAGGCGGAATATATAGAAGAATCCTATGCTGTATGTCAAGCAATCTAGATTATATATGTGTTTAAAAAGATTGAGGTCGAAGTGAAGAAACCTCTAGTGCTGCAGATCGACAATAACTCAGCCATTAATCTTGCGAAGAATCCGATTTTGCATGGAAGGAGTAAGCACATCGAAGCTAGATTTCACTTCTTAAGGGAGAAGGTAAGTCGAGGTGAACTTGAAGTAAGGCATTGCTTAAGTGAAGCACAATTGATCGATATTTTCACCAAAGGATTAAAGATCTACATATTCCTGAATTTGAGAAAGAAATTAGGAATAGTTCAGATCGATTGTGATTAGCGTTTGCCCGACAACTTGAATTATAAACGGTGTGTGTTGAGATATAAGCAATATAATCCATGTTGTGCGTTGCCCAAGTATAAAGATAATTAGGATTTAGGGTCTGTTACTTAGTTTGTTTTATTTGTTACTTAGTAGTCAAGTGACTTAGGTGTATATAAATAGATACTTTGTAGTTCAGTTGTAACACAATCATATTGAATAATATCAATCCTTATTTCCTTATTCTCTCTCTTTTTCTTCCCAATAAAAATGTCTCACGCACTAACAAAAAGAGCATTAATCAAATACATACACGATTTACCCATATCGTGAGTCATATGAGTACTATGAGAAAAACATTTTCAAATGAGGAACTAGTTATAAAATTTTCTTAGATGCCTAAACCGTAATTGCCAACCCAAGTCAATCTGATTTGTGAATCTAAAGATTTAGTGAATATATACACACTTTTTGAAAAATCAGGTAAATTAAATAAAATTATAAATTTAATTTTTTATTTTAAAAATATAATCCGGCAAAATTGTTTGATGTGATACCATAGACATTGTCATGTCAGTGTCACATCATAAATTGAAGTGCTATGTATACAAATTTGAAAAGACAAAAAATCAAGAAATGTTAATATGGATCAAAAAGTTGATTTTTTTTTAAAAGGATTAAAAAAATTAAAATAAGAAAATCAAAATAACATTTAAGCATTTAATAAATGAAAAGTTTAAATGTACTTTTGATTCCATTTTAAATTTTTAAATATAAAATTTATTTTTAATGATGTGGTAGTGATATGACTAAAATGATTTATGATTTAATTAATAAATTAATAATTTTTTTTAGAATAATTTAAAAATTAATTAATTTCAAATTTTAAAAGATTTTTTTTCCACTCAAATCTCATACATTTGATCGATTTCTCAAACCCACTTAATGGGCTCATATGAACCTCCGCTTGCATGAGGTTGATAAAGTGTTTTTTATTAATTAGTTTAATGATTGAAGTTTACTTTATTAACATTTCACAAATGAGATGTTGCGAATTCAAACTAAATTTTTATAGTTAATGTTTTTGTACTGTTACCAACAACACTGCCTTAAAACAAAAATTATATTTATAAAATATTTTAGTTTGAATATCCATGCCTTCTTAGCGAGTTTCCTCTTTTTCTTATTGGTGAGGATTATTACTTTAACTAACATGAAATTGGTGACATTGCATATTTTTTTTGAGAATTTAGTTGATGTTGAAACCCCACATTATTTTCAGTATAAAAGGTTTAGTGTTTATATCTCTTATACAAAAACATTTAATAAAAGTTAGTGGGTAGGAGAGATGGATCAATTACATGGATTTTAAATTCAAAAAAATCTTTTAAAAATTTAAAATTATTTAATTTATTTTTTAAAAATTAATTAAAATTATTAATTCATTAATTAAACAAATATTAAATAATAAATCATAAAAATAATTAAATTTTAAAATAAAAAATAAAAGTGTAAAAATATTAAAATATAAGAAATATTAAAATAAAGGGATAAAAATGTATTTAAACTTAAATAAAAATTTGATAGTAAAAAAAATATATTAAAATTGTAAAGAGGCAATTGTTTTTATGGAAATAAAATATAAATAAAATATTATTTTTTTATAAAATTAAAAAAATATGTTTTTTTTTTTAATTTTTCACATCGCACTACTAAAAAAAGAGATTAATTGAAATATATTATCAAGATAAAACCATTTTACACTATCATCCAATTAAAATGAATTATTTTGACACATAATTATATAATTAAAAATAAAAAAATAAAATATTTTAATAACTACTTCTTCATTCTAATTAGATGACAATGTAAAATAGTTTTACACCGACAGTGTATCCAATTAATGTCTAAAAAAAGACAATCAATTAAATTTGAATGATGAGTTTAATTGATATGCATTAACTGTATAAAATAATTTTACACTGTCATTCAATAGAAATATATTAATCTGTCATATAATACATTTAATTTAAAATTTAGAGTCTGATGCGGCAGAATACATGAAAGTGATTAGTTGACGGTATAAAATAATTTTATCCCATGACCGTGCGTACTAATTAAATTCTTGAATGATTGTAAAAAGGAAAATATTTGCCTACAATTTCTTAGATATAATTTTTATTATATATATATATATATATATATATATATATATATATATATATATATATATATATATATATATATATATATATATATATATATATATATATATATATATATATATATATATATATATATATATATATATATATATATATATATATATATATATATATATATATATATATATATATATATATATATATATATATATATATATATATATATATATATAATTATACACTTATCATATTTATATTGAAAAATAATAAAAAATACGTTTAAAAAATTTATATCTTAAATTTTTTCCTTCTAAAAAAGAGAGATTAAAATATAATTTTAAAACTAAAAAACTAAAAAAATGATTTTAATTAAACTAAGATAAATTAAAACAATATCATAACAAATAATACTAAAGTCTAGATTTAAAATATAATTACTTTTACCGAAAGTTTCTTTTCCTCTGCAGAGTAATTTGTGTTTTGCAACACTAATCAGGATTCATCGAAACTCGGAAGAAAGAGTGCATGGAGGGAGCAATGGAATTGGAATCATCAACGGCCACAGATCTCGACGAACTCGATCCTTCATCAACATTCTTAGATCTCACGAGTTACCAGCTTCACGACCTTGACTCAGTCGAGTTACCTCCTAACCTCACCGAGTTAGACCTCACCGCGAATCGTTTATCTAACCTAGACCCTCGCATAGGCCAATTATCCGATCTCAAAAAGCTCTCTCTCCGTCAAAACCTAATCACCGACGCCGCCGTTGTTCCTCTCTCTTCCTGGAACGCCCTCTCCTCTCTCGAGGTACTTTTGTTTTCGTTAATCATTCTCTATAAAGTTCTGTTTGGATGCGTTTGAATGCGTTTGAATTGCGTAATTGAAATGTGTTTTTTGTTGATTTGTTATAGGAGTTGGTGTTTCGTGATAATCAGTTAAAGAATGTTCCTGATGTAAGCATATTTAAGAGGCTTTTGGTTTTTGATGTTTCTTTCAACGAAATTGCGTCGTTACATGGTGTGTCTAGGGTTTCTAATACTTTGAAGGAGCTCTATGTATCGAAAAATGAAGTTACGAAAATCGAGGAGATCGAACATTTTCATGAGTTGCAGATTTTGGAACTAGGTTCTAACAAATTGCGGGTTAGTGAGTTTATTATAATGTGCATGTCTTTGTGATTGTGTTGATTTTTCTTTTCCGATTGTATTTATGAAGTTGAGTGTTTGGTGTTTTAGGTGATGGAGAGTTTGGAGAACCTTGTAAATTTGCAGGAGCTATGGCTTGGACGTAATCGGATTAAAGTTGTGAATCTATGTGGTTTGAAATGCATTAAGAAGATTAGTTTGCAAAGCAATCGTCTTACTTCGACGATTGGATTTGAGGTATGATGAGTTTTTACTTGCTTTATCACACTCCAGAACTGAATAGGGAGAAGAACAAATTTACATTATGGAGGGAAAAAAACAGATTAACATCTTAAAATAATTATAGGAATGAACATAGCTATGGCGCTTAAGGCACTGTTCTTAAGATTCTGTACTGAACTACTCGTGAGATGGTATTAAGCATTGCACTCCTTACCACATCCTTGTAGGAGTTATTGCCAGTTATGTTAAAGAAATTTAGTTCAAAACAGCTTGCACAATACATAGGCCGCAGTGTGTAAGTTTAGTCCTTAATTATACAGTTTCAACAGCTTCAATGGTTTAGTGCAATTCAACCAAGTAAAACCATATACCATGGCATTATATGGAGAATTAAAAAAAGTTATTGGAAATTTTAAATACATGGATATCATATTACATATTTTGAATGACTTACATTTAAATACTGGAATTCAAATTATAGTTTGTAAAAAGAGGTTAGAATGATCAGTGACAGTGGCGGAGCTACACATGTAGCTCCAGCTGTTCGGGCCCTTGTAAACATTTTAAAAATTGCTTGAGTTTTCACAATGCAGGTACTGGAAAGAGATATAAATGTCAGGATTGCATTGTTAGAGTTACTATTTTTTTAATGATCTGTTACTGCTATTTAAAAAAAGGCCTTGTCTGGGTTATTTTTTTACCCGACCTGAAAACCGGCCCAAAAGGGTTAAAGCCCTACTTAAACATTAATAACTCTTTTTTAACACTTATAAAAGACTAAGCATGTTTTAACCTTTCCATTCTCCACCATTTATTTTCTTCTTCTCTGTGTTCTCTTCCTCTTGCAATTGATGCAATTTCTCTAAATGGTTTTGGTGATTGTAATGAGTGGTCGGTGGGAGTGTTGAATGATGGTAATGAGGCTGGAAATGGCTTAGTGCTTGAAGGTGACATTATTCTCAATTGGCAAACTGTTTATGAAGCTTCAGGGAAAGGTTACAATGTCTAGTTGGAATACATAGACAGTGATGGTATAGCAGCTGTGCAGAACAAAAGGGGGGAGGAGTTTGCTATGATGATTGCAATTTTAAGTCTTTATTACTCTTTTTTACTTTGAAGTTTGGAATTTGTAGAGAAGTTCTTTTATTTTGAATGTTTTGAAAAGCTATTTTATTTTGAATTGAATGATTTGATGTCTGAAACTTGAAGAGATCTTGAATTCTTTTTTATTTTGAAGTGTAGAACTTGAATTCTTTTTATTTTGAAGCTATTTACTACACATCTCTAAAAATTTCAATAAAATTTTGCCGCGTGTAATGGTCAAACTTGACAAGAGAGTTGCGCCCACTGTTCTCGGAGCCTGGATCTGCCCCTGATCAATGATAACATCGGCCTTAATCCAACCGGTTAATCCCTTTGTATTACAGCGTGAACTTGTAGGAAAATTTTGTAAGCCAAACAATGCTGCTAACTACTTTGAACTCAAATTTGTCCTGGTCCTCAGTACTTATCAGTCTTAACTCTAAGGACTATTAAAAGTTGAGGCATGAAATTGTAGGTCAATCTACATCACATTCCTGCTATGATATAATATAGCTATAAACCACTACTTTCAACAACTTCAAAACCACGCTACTCTAGTAGAAATCATGCAGTAAAAGAAAGAAAAATGCAATGCTGGGACTTAAGAGAGTCAACATTCTATTCTGATGATATAGGAATAGAGAGAGATGCAATTATATGAGCAAGAGGAAAAGATGTGATTCATAGGAAGAGTCTGGTGGAATATTTCACCAATTCTACTTGCAAGATCATTTAAAATTCTTCAATTTGAGGATAAATACTGGAATAATACTTTGGAATTTATGAAATTCTTTGTACCATATTATATAGCCAACCAAGATGATGTATGACGAAGTATTTCAAGTCCTCTAGAAACTTACATTCCTCTCTTAAAATTCCTCATTCTAACTCAATTTTCAGGTAGTGGTCATCAATTGAAGATAGGGATTGTTTCAATTTGAACTTGTTGGTGAATAGGGCAGGGGGTTCTGCAAATTTTCTTTTTATATTTTCATTTGTAGTTGCTAACTTTTTGGCTTACAGGCTTGCATAGCTCTAGAAGAACTATACTTGAGCCACAATGGTATCACAAAAATTGAAGGCTTGTCGTCTTTAGTCAATCTCCGGCTTTTAGATGTGTCATCAAATAAGCTAACCTCTGTGGATGACATTCAAAACCTGACACAGTATGTCTATTCCTTTATTTCCCTCCGTACAAAAAAACACTTTTCCGGTCTTGTATTGATAATAATTTCATATACCCGTTTAATGTATTGCAGATTAGAAGATTTGTGGCTTAATGACAACAAAATAGAATCACTTGAAGGATTTGCTGAGGCTGTCGCCGGGTCAAGAGAGAAGCTTACCACAATCTACCTAGAAAATAACCCTTGTGTATGGATTATATTTAGCCTTTTGGTGGATTTTATTGTCATTATATGTGCATGCATAATCTTCCATTGAGATTAATTTGAAGCATATTAGCCCACATTATGAGGTCAATGACAAACAGTTTTTTCCTCCATCTTTCTGCTTATCATGAATGTTGTTTTTTCCCAAACTATTCTGTTTGGGGGACCTGCCAGAGAAATAAAAGACGGCTTTGTAGTAGAGCCATTCGTTTGTTCAATTCTTGTATAATATATTGGTTGATTCTGTTAATAACATCCCTAAATTTCCCTGATGATGCTCATTCTTAATTATTTTTCAGTTACATGATGTATTTCTGTTAGAACTAATCGTAATTTTTCTTCGTGCAGGCCAAGTCACCTAACTACACCGCCATCCTAAGGGAAATCTTCCCCAACTTACAACAAATTGATTCTGATGTATTTTCTTAAGAGTATCTTTGGCTTCATCTTTTTCTGAAGCACTGTCTTTTCATATATATATTTGTAAGTTTTATATAGATCTTTGCATGCTTTTGTCTGTTTCTTTTAGGCTGCACTTTGATTAATTTCTGAAAAATCTTCCATGCATGCAGATTCCAGTTTTGGGAGATCGATAGAGATGTTGTGATTTTAAAACCACCGGTGAATATTATTATGTGGCCTGACGACATTGGTTACCAGTCGAATGAATATATATACTTGTTACATGTTTTATGTTTTTCAGACACCCTTTTGTATTATTTATGTCATATCAGCTACCAATTTTTGAAGCAAGGTTTTTCAGGGATGAACTGAAGATTAATGGTAGAGACTGAATGAACGGGTTCCATACATTTTTTTTCTTCACTTTTTCATATTTTTCCTGTGTCTTAGTTTATCTGCAAACAATAGAAGTACGACATTTTTGTTTCCGGAAAAATCTTGCTGTATTTTTCTCGGTAGAAAGTGAAATTGATATAATAAAATAACGTGGAAATATATATATATATATATATATATATATATATATATATATATATATATATATATATATATATATATATATAGAGAGAGAGAGAGAGAGAGAGAGAGAGAGAGAGAGAGGCGGGAATCATTTAACACCGGCGTCAAACATTAATTTTGACACAATATTTTATCTATTAAATAATATTTAATCTAATAACTTTTATTAACTTAATTAATCATATAATATTTGATCTAATAATTTTTATTAATTTAATTAATTATATAATATTTGGTGCTCGATAAATATCTAAATCTTTTCTCAGACAAAAACAAATATCATAACAAAAATCCTATAGACTTTGTTGCAGAACTCGCTAAAGAAACCTTTCCTCCAATGAAGTATACCACATTAAGGTTTGAAAAAAGATCAAACATTTTGACATCTCTTGTAGGTGGAGAAAATCTGCCCAAAAATTGGTTGTTTTTGTACCTTAATCTACCATGGCTGATTGTTTCTAATAATGTATTTCAATTGAATTTTTGCCTATATTTTTAAAATACAAAAAATTAAGTTTTTTTTATCTTTTCAAATAATACAAAAAATTGAGTTTTTTTATCTTTCCAAATGATGTTATGATATGCTGGTATGTGAAAATTGTTAAGCACTGTTAAAATATAAATACTTGATAGTCTATTTATATGATAGGGCGAATAGTTTATGTTAGGGAGAATAGTTTATAGTAATCACATCAATATGTAGTTTATTTTAGTTAAAAGATTCATTTAACCTATTAGTTGTTAATTCTTCACAATTAACACCATATTGGCACTCAATGTACTCGAAAATACTGGTCTCACAAGTAGCATCATATTGTCACTCACTCAGTGGCCAACCACATTGCTTGGTGGGTATAATATACATTATTACATGTGAAAAATAGAAGACAAATTCAGTTGGTGTTTTTAAATGTTGTTGTTATTATTTTCTAGGTGCGAAGACTTTTCAATATTGGATCAGAAGATTCATAGCCCGTTAGACTTTGCTACAAATTAATTAAATTATTAATTTTTTTATTAGACTTTGCTAAAAATTAATTAAATTATCAACTTTCTCACGTATTATATGTTGCATTTTCTTTTTGACGTTATGATACTTATTATAAAATTAGAATTTAATATATTTTAGGTTTATTGTATTATATAACATTATGATTATGGAACTCACACTTTTTTTTTGTTGCCATTATGATGCTTATTTGATATTAGAATTTTGTAATTGCAATTTTGTTGTATTAAAAAGTTATAGAAATAAAAATAAAATGTTAAAGAAAAAAGATAAAGAAATATTAAAAAAAAAGAAAAATTTAAAGAAAGATAAAGACATATTACCAAAATAAAAATAAAAAGTTAAAACATAAAAGTTATTATTAAAACTAAAAATAAAAGGTTAAAGAAAAAATGAAAAATATTATTACAAATAAAAAATTTGAAATGTTAATTAGTAACAGTTTAAACTGTTGCTAAAAGTATAAAATTAAATAATTATATTGTTTTAAACTGTTATCAAATAAATTATGTCAAGGATTTATAAAATATTTTGCTATGGTTTGAACTGTCATAATTTCACACACGAAAGTTTGAAATTGTCGCAATAGTATTGAAAACGAAAAACCAAATAAAATTCATGATAGTTTGAACCCGTCACAAATAATTATTTAAGGCAGTTCAGTACTCGTGGCAAACAGTAACGTTGGTTGGAGTAGCGGTTTTTGCAACTGTCGCAGTTCATATTGGTGAGACACGCTTTTGTAGCAGAACTAAAATTGTCGTGACACAGTCATGTGGTGGTTCAAACTGCCATAACTTTCGAAAATAACCTCCATAACTTTCATTTTTTCTTGTAGTGATTGTGGTGGTTGAAACCGCCATAATTTACTTAAAAGTCATTCTTAATTAAAATTAATTCTTTCAATTAATTTCCATTACCTGAAAACCCTTTCATGTTTTGTTAAATAGCTTGATATACATTGCTTTTCTATCACTTCTAGACCTTACCTCTGATGTCACCCTAGTTGTCAATGCTTCTTGGTCTTCAATCTCCTCAACGTTGATCATCTTCTTCTCATAAAAAAATTGCGTTAGATCCTGAAACTTATGGTTGACAAATGCTTTTGGCCTAGAATCACCGATTCTGGTCGAAGATCTTTATGTTGCACTCAAACTTATCATATATAGACATGGGAAACAGACAACGCTACTTCTAAGCCACCTTCCATACATGAGAGTCATCATCTATATATGGAGTGGTAAGGTACATGGCACGATTGACATCCTACATAAAATTTACACCCATAGTAGATGATAAAGGTACCCTAGGTGCTCTTGATGTGGTGCGCTTGTCTATGGTATTCCTCACAACTCTTTCTTCACATTGAATTAACTAACCCATGTTTATACATGCTTTCTTACTCAACAAAAACTCACTTCGAGGATTTGGATTGCTAGACAACATAAATGGGCTTTAGGATGTAACAATGGTCCAAATTGACAAACTTGCCCTCCTTTTGTATTACCCTCTAGATGCTCCAAAAAAAAAATTGTCTTCCCATGTCAATCTCCTAGCCCTGCTAATGATGAAGTCAAAGGAATTGGAAAAACTCTTCAATGTGGCTAATAGGAAAACAACTAAATCTTTCAAAACTTCCTTATGTCGTTCCACTTAAAATATCGGGGTAGATTTTCAAGCACTTATTTGTTCCACAAGGTGCCTAACCTACAAATTTCATGTAGCATCTCTTCCCAGTTTTCCTGTATGGTTGACATGTATCTTTTCCTTCTGAGGAAAACACACTCAAAAGATGTTACCTAACCAAAAAATTGTTAATTACTTCTGCAAAATAGTCGATTGAGATGCCTCTAACTGTAGAGGTGTAGTCGAGGATAAGGTTAGCGGAAATTACACTTTTATGCCTTGGATGGAATCTTTATTAGATTGTTGAGATGGTTTCAATCATGTCCCATAGTATATCAGTAATCACAAGAAATTAAAAGGGAACAAAGTCAAATGGTGTCATAAGCAAGAGTGTTAGGTTGGACGCTTAATTAGTTAGAAGCTTTATTAGTTAATAAGAAAGATAAAATACTTTGTCTAATCAGTTAAGAAGTTCTCATAATCGATAAAATCAGAGTGTAATGCCTCATTATTGATTAAGGATGATAATAAGCAATTAAGTGATCAAGTAGATTTTCAAATTTCTTATTTTGGCTTGGTAAATTGACTAACACACAACTTTAATCAATTAAATCAATAAAAGGCTCATGGATTACTTTTCTTTTTGAGCCAAATTTTGTCGTATATAAAAAAGATTTTGTTGTGAATCGGATACCTTTAAACAAAGTATAAACGGTTTCTTAATGATCAAGAAACACACAAGGGTTAGGGTTAACAAAGAAAACAAGGTAAAACAACAAGGAACAACAAGGATTGGTTATTAAACTGTTATTCTTTCCTTTCTCTTAGAACAAGATTACAAGTATACAAGAATAACAAAATAACCTCTCTCCCTTGAAATTAGGATTTTGTCTTCCTATTTTTCCTTATCTCAAAATTGAGAAACTAGCATCCTATTTATAATAAAATAGCACACTAACCTAATGGGCATTTTAACAATTACCCATTACAAGCTAACTTAGGGTACAAGCTAACTTAAACAATTAGGCTTACAAGCAAGACCCAATTCAACATGCTAACAACCCTAGCAATATTTACTCATGCTAACAACCTTAGCAATATTTACTCATGCTAACAACCTTAGCAATATTTACTCATGCTAACAACCTTAGCAATATTTACTAATGCATGTTAGAACAGACTTCGACTACAACACGCATTACTTACGAACAGACTTCGACCGTATTAGAGTTTGATCCAACATCTCACAAATCTCCACCTTGGATCTAACTCTATAACATCAAGAAACTAGCTTTCTTCATGCAGCTTTATTAACTGCATATGGTGGAAAAAGTTGCAATTGGGCAACGTCTTTTCTTTTTCCGTTAACACAGCGTCCATGGCTGCCTCACCCTTCAACGCTTTCAAACAACCCTGCTGAACCAACAGGGCTTTCATCTTCAAGTGCCACAGACCAAAGTCGTTCACTCCGGTGAACTTTTCAATCTCATACTTTGTTGAAGGCATATTTTCCACGCTCACCGCACCAATTTGTTGTGAATCGGATACCTTTAAACAAAGTATAAACGGTTTCTTAATGATCAAGAAACACACAAGGGTTAGGGTTAACAAAGAAAACAAGGTAAAACAACAAGGAACAACAAGGATTGGTTATTAAACTGTTATTCTTTCCTTTCTCTTAGAACAAGATTACAAGTATACAAGAATAACAAAATAACCTCTCTCCCTTGAAATTAGGATTTTGTCTTCCTATTTTTCCTTATCTCAAAATTGAGAAACTAGCATCCTATTTATAATAAAATAGCACACTAAC